TGGCTCCCCGAGCCAGGAGATACCTCGCGAGGCCCTCAGCAAGGAGCGGTGGCACAGCGTCCTGGGATCCTCAGAAGCTCTAAGTGCTGACGAGCCGGAGGAGCAGCTCGGGTGAGTGTGAAGCCATCATAACGTCAGATCGGTGCTGGTTTACGTGTGTTGTTCCTCAAGCCTCCTTGGTTCGAGTTACTCTGCTCCGTGTGTAACTCATCAGTTTAAAAAGCTGCAGCTGGATGACTGTGGCTCTTTGCTCTTTTTCTCTCTGGGCTTCTCACACTGCTTTTCCCTGTTACAAGTGCAGAAAATCTGTGGTTAGAGCCAGCATCTCCCCACAGAGTCTCTGAAGCAAAGGAGAAGCTTTAAGGATCTCAGGAGTGCTGGGTGCTGGTTGTGCTCACTTTGGGGGTGTCCCACTTGCAAGTTGGAGATTCAGCTGCAGCACTTATGGCAGAGTTACATGAAATAACTTAGGACAAGTACAACAGCCTGGGGATGATGGAGACCCGAGCTTGTCTGGGAGGCTGGTACACCCTGGAAGTCCCTGGCAGCATGGCTTGCTCCAGCAGTCCCCGGGCTAGCAGGTTACAGCTTTGTATCCAAAGGACCATGATGTTAGTAAGAGAGGGCAAGGCACTGAGCTTTGCTCCCCACTGCACCTATGCAGGTGCTACCAGTGCCTTGGTGGCACAGGGTTTGCAGTGTGAGACAAGAGGCACGAGTGTCACCCTATTCTCCAGTGCCTGAGACAAACCAGCTCGTGTGCGATGCCCCTCGGTCTCTGTGCTTTCTGTACTGGCAGCCCGGCTTCATGGGAGAGCTCTCCAGGCTGGGAGACACCCCGACCGGTGCGGTGTCCACAGCTGATTTTGTGCCTCTGCAAGTGCCTAGACCTCCCTGGGGCTCTGCAGTTTGGAGGCTGAGGGGAAACGACTGGTCACTGGGATGAGGTGGGGTGCTTCCCATGCCATTCCTGTGGGAGGGTTACGGATGCTTCCCTTCGCCACCAGAAATTGTCCAGGGCTCTGTATTGCAGCCACCCAGGGCTGATGGCTGCTGTGAATCTTGTGGCCCTGCCTACGTACCTGCCCCAGCACAGGAGAGATGCTGCAAGCTGGAGGGGGCTGGAGAAGAACAGCAGAGGTTGTCACAGAGGAGCATGGCCTTCTCCAGAGGAGAAGGTATGAAAGGGACAGGGTGGCCAAGAGGGGCCTGTGAATCACCTCCCAGTTTTAGTCCAGTGCAGGCTCCAGGCTGAGCTGTGTGTTCAGAGCGCTGTCTGGAGTGTAGGCAGGAGTGTCAGCAGAGCTGGGAAGCCACACAGCGCGTGGGCTGACAACAGGCGTCCCTAATTCACTGCATCTCTGGAGTTGAACAGGATCTCCTATAAAAACTGGTGGTTTGTTTTACCCCAGCAAGAAGGATTAGCACTGTTTCAAGAAGGTATTGAAGAGGAAGAGTGTCCAAAGCAGGCTGCTGATGTCCAGAGAACTGGGGGAGTCTATCCCCAGGCAGGTCCCACGGGCCCTATAAGCTATGCAGTCAGGTCTTGGATGTCTGCGGGTCTCTCACATGGCAAGGGACTCGTATTTGCTTGGTATATGGCTCCCTGGCAGACTGTGAGTTCAAGAGGAAGCTAAGGGTGGTCAGCGAATGCTGCTGCAATCACTGAAATTGCATTTATTTTAAGGTACTAGGGCATGAACTGGGAGAAGTGGCAGGCTGAGGATTTGGAGATGATGCAGCCTGACTGGGCTCTGCATGCACAGCCCGTGATCTTACTCTTGAAACACATTCACTTGGATAGCAAATAAGTCTTTTGGGAAGCTGAATGCACAGGGAACGAGTCACATATGTATTCGAAGGCAGAAGGGCAGCTGGAAAACTTCAGGGACACAGCTGAAATCTGGGAAATCACTTATTGCCTAAGGATTGGGTCAGCTTGCTGTGTTTGAGCTCCTTAGCACTTTGGCTGTCTATCTTTAGGCTAAATGGCAGAAACACGTGGCTGGGCCAAATACAGCATGGAGCTGGCCTTTGCTGACCGTAGCTGACTGTCTGGCTCTCCTACATCAGTGCGGGTCAGGAGTAACAAAACTGACAGATGGACCGAGGCACTGGGAAGTCACTGTCATCCTGCATCATCTCTGAGTTTCCCCAGTTCTTTCTTTTCTCCCCTTCGGTATGTTGCTGTTTGTTACAACCCATTATGGATATGGGAGAACCTGGGATTTCTCTGTCTCTGGCCTAATGTTTTACTATTTACAGTCAACCATTCGTTCCTGGGGAACAAATCACTTGTCATCATCTGCAGGTAGGTGCTCGTATGATGCATTTTGTCCCTGGGTCTTAAAGTAGTTCATAAGAAGGGGCTGAGTCTTGCTTTTTCCACTGAACCAATGGAGAAATAAAGAGGAAAAAGTCATCCAAGGCCATCAGCTCCATGGTGGAGCTGGAGAAGGAAACCCTGATTGCCACGCTGAAGGTAGGTTAGTGCATCTGTGCAGGAAATGGTTGTTAAAAAAGGAAACAAGGAAATAAAGCCAAAGCTTTAGTGCTTGTGCTGCAGTTGGAATTAACTGAATCCCTTTCACTCCCTTTCTAGTGTATCCCATGGCATCCATTGGTATGCCCATGTACCATTTGTCGAAGACCCATTTTCCTATCATCGTGGCTATGTTTCCTAGAGGTCTTTTGCCTTCCCAGAAGCCCCCAGAATTGGTCTGCTGATCTCAGGGAGGTCACAGTTCTGCAGTCAAGCTGAGAGCTTCACCAGTGAATGATATTCTCTGCTTTCAGCCCCATGAACTCATGCAAAAAGGCCAAACTTTTTTAATAGAGGAATCCCCACTTTTGCCTCAAAGATGCACTTACTACCTGCAGGTTTGGGACCACTGCCTTTGCCCCCACATTTCCTCCCATGGCAACATATAGCCGTGAAGCAATTCAAATTCCATTAAATAAAGTTTCAGAAAAACTTTGCAGAAAGTCTGCAGTGCATGGCAAGAGAGTCCTGATTTCCGTCATGTCCTTCTCCGACAGCACTCCCTGCTCCTCCAACGCAGCAGACTAGGTTGTGCTTTATTACAACGAGTTAACCAGTGAGAAGTGAAATGTAAACAACTGGGTGCCTAAAAATCCGGTACAGTTCAGCTGCAATAATAACCGAGTGCATCGCTCCGCGCGCCTCGCCGTGAGCAATAGAACAGCGTTTCGGGGATGGCTGGGAAAAGCAGCACAGGCAATTAGACACAGCGTCACTTCAACACACAAAACCTCGTGATTACGATGCAAATAAATAGCTCCTTATTTAAGTAAAGCAATTGCCTTCCCTGCTGTGTAACAAGTACACAACGCTGCTCTGGGGGGAGGCTGTGTCAGCTTCATTCACACGGGCGAGGTCTTTCGCTGTCTCCCACCTTAGCCTGGCTTTGATTGAATTAGATGCAGGCAGTGCTCCTGGGCTGGTTGTAAGCTGTAGAAAGTCTCGTTGTCCTCTCTGGGGCCACGCAAGGAGAGATGTGATGTGCCTGACTTGTTGGTGCCCACTGAGTCACCCAGGACCACGGCTCCTGCCCTGGTCTCTGCAGTCTGTCCCATGCAGCCTTCGCTGGGGCACGTGGAGGGACACAGACCTTCTCACTTTGCTGCCTGCTGTACGAGTTTGGGCTCAAGGGTTAAATGAAGGGCTGGAAAATACAAGCTCTGTGGTGTGAACAGCTAGTGGAAATGATTCTGTTCAGTGTGGTGAGACAGTGGGAGCTGTCTGGCTTGGGATTATGGCAATGTGGAACCTGCTAAGTAAGATCCAGGAGGTGCAGGGCTTGATGGCTCTTGAACTTGATACCCAGGAGCACTCAGGACAATACCTACAGGCACAGCTGCAGTGCACAGCACCCCTGGAAACACATGCTGTGCACCAAACCTCACGGGAATGGGCCAGGGCATGCCCCCCTGCATGGATGCTCCTCCACAAAGACGTCCTGGTGACGGGAGTGAAGCAACGCAGGCCAAGGGGCAGTGTGATGGCTCTTGGAGGACCTGGGGAAACCACAAAGGCCCAGGTTTTTTTCTTGGTGTGGGGGAGGATGCAGACCCGCTGTAGGGGAGGGGATGTGGAAGTTTGCTGGGGATGGGGGCTGTTGCAGTGGGACGGGCTGCCAAGGCAGGTCCGTGATTCCCACTGCTGGGTGTAATCAAGGCTGTAAAGTCCTTCCTGTCACAAGATGATGAAGTTTTTTAAGTTCCTCCTGCTTTGTGGAGATCTTTTCTGTACACAAAGTCGTGGCCAGGCACTGCAGTTCACCCTGCAGGGATGGACAGATTTGTAAAGACAAGCAGTCCTCTTTGGGCTGAAGCTGCTGCTGTCTGCCTCATTTCTGCTTATGTCTGGTTTGCTGCGTGGCCAGCTCTGAGGAACTGGGTGATGGTTTTCTTAAACCATGAGCTCCTGGAATCAAGGGATTATGTGAGTCTACAGATTTGTGTAAGCTTTTACCCATGTGGTTGCAGAGCTGGGTTTGAAAACAGCATCTCCGATGGCTCAGACATCAGAGGGGACTTTCAAAGGGTGCAAGAACTTGTTTGTCAGGGCCCGTCAGGTCTCGTGAATGTAGCGTAAGCCATGCATGGTTGTCTCCCTCCTCGCACAACGCTTCAGGTGGGTCTGTCCTGATTCCTCCTGCGCCAGGATCCCCTGTTCCTGCCACAGCTCACCAGCCTGCTGGCCTGGCACCTAGCATCTCAAAGAAGGGAAGGCAGCCTGGCATAGTCACTTCATAGTCACACTGACCTGCTTGGAGTCCTCAGACTCTTGGACACTGAGAAATAAGAAACCTGAGAGCACTGATTTGTCCTCTTCTCTTCAATGGCTCTCACCCTGGCATTTTAGAAGCAGGAAAATCTACCTTTGTTCAGTTTCTTCCCCAAGTGCCCTTTTCTTTGAGAGATGGGGACAAGAAGTCCGATAGCTGACTTGTGCCTACTCCTCACTGCCACAACGGCGCTACGTACACCTCTGTCGTTGCAGTCTTCCCTCCTTACGCTGGTTTTCTGCTCGTTGTCCACTGGATTCCCTCGCATGCTATGACTGTCTTTGATTGTTGTGGATTCTCAGGGTGAGGAGATCCTTGTTGGCAGAGCACCTCCTGTCCTGCAGGCTTGGGTCTTTGAACACACTGACTGTAGCAAACAAGGGTGATAACTTTGAGGACTTCTCTATCTGAAGGGATGCCAGGTCCCATTTTACTGCCTGGAATTAGTGCTCATGTAAATACTGAATTCTTGCTGCCCATGATGATGAGGGTGTTGGAGGATGACCAGTCCAAGTGAGCATCACTGCTCAGGCATGGTGTATCCTGTGCTGCCCATGAGCACTGGCTGCTTCACAAAAATGATGATGATGGTTCCCAGATGGGCATGTTATCGTCACTGGCAAGGTGTGCCCAAGCATGACAGTGATGTTCAGAGATCCATCTCCACTGTGAAACCTGGAGCCTCAGTCTGTTGGACAAAAGGGGCTGAATGTCTCTGGATCAGGGCATCTGTAAGCTGTAAATAGCTGGGAGCTGGAAACATGTGGCTGGCTGGGGGGGCTGTCAGGGGGTGGTCGCTTTGCTTTCTCTGCTCTCTGCTGGTGGAGACAGGATACAAGACTATATATTTCTATCTCTTTACTTTTGCTATAAGCAATTCCATGGAGTGCAGCATGTGCCACAGTTTCTAGGCCTAAAAAGAAAACTGTTTTGCAAAGCACATCGAGACATGTCCAGAGTTCTAGGAGACACTATCATGGCTCTGCCATGACTGGCTCACAAGTGCTTTGCTGCCTCTGTGCTAGAGCTGCTACCTTCCAAGGTCCGTGACTGGTCTCTTCTGTGCCAGGTGATGTGCAAGGCAGGGAGTGGGCTGTCACTGATGCCCAGTAGGAAACGTTACGAGCAGTAGCTGGGCTTGGGCATGCACAGGTGCAGCATCTCATTCACTGGCACAGGAAACTTGCTCATCCCTGATCCACCCCAGAATTCATCTCAGGGAAAGGTATTCTGCTGCAAAGCGAGGCCATGCTCATTAGCAGGGGCACTGGGCACAGCCATGGCGCTGACACAGGGTTTCCAAACCAGGACAACCATAGTGAAGAGGTGCAGTGTGTTGGCTCTAACCCAGCTACTTGCTCACCACCATCCCTTGTGGGTTATGGGAGAGAGTCAGAAGAACAAAAGTGAGGAGACCTGTGGGTCAAGATAAAAACAGTTTGAGTGAAGGAAAAAGCAGGGGGGGAAAGTGATGCAAAAGCAATCACTCAACATCTCCCACCAGCAGGCCAATGCCCAGCCAGTCTCTGAGCAAGTCTCTTTTTTTCTTAATTTTACTGTGAATGACTTTATATGGAATGCAATATCTCCTTGGTCAATTCAGCTCAGCTGTCCCAGCTCTGTCCCTCCCAGACTCTTGCCTACCCCCAGCCTACTTGCTGGGGAGTGAAGAATAGAGAAAGCCTTGATGCTGTGCAGGCACGTTCGGCAACAGATAAAACATCAGCCCGTCACCGACGCCGTTTCGGTCACAGATCCCATCCGCAGCACCGTATGTGCTGCTACGGAGAGTGAGCTCCGGCACAGGCGGAGGAAAAGCAGCTTGCTGCTCTCCTGGCTCTCACCTGTATCGCAGGATGAAATGCCTGGTTCTGGCAAAGCGAATGACAGCAGCGTCTGCTGGAAGTGGGGAGGCACTGAGAAACCTGCGATATTTCAGCCTGGGTCTATTCCAGGGGATACCGAGCCCTCCCAGCTCTCCGGGGCTGCCAGCACAGTGGGGGTTGCTGGATTCGACTCAGATTAATTCTCCCAGTGTGTCTTTGTATTAAGATGTCCACTGGAATGAATGCCCCAGCATTCAAAGCCAAACAGAATTGGGATTGCTGAGAGTCATCCGTGCTTACCTGGAAGCTGGGCTTGTAGGTTCACGTTTCACAGCCTGTAAGGCTGTGCTGGAATCCCACAGGCAGCATGGAGCCTCCCTTGCCTGGGTGTGTGTCAACCACCTTTTACATCTCTCTCAGGGGAGAGAAAACTATTTGTAGGGTGCCTTGCACTTCTAGGGTGCCTCATCTAAGAAAAAAAATCTCAAGTTACAGCATGTGACTTTGTCCCTAAAAGCTACTGCTTTTTCTCCGCTATAAAATGGATCAAGGACATTTGCTGCCAACGTCCAAAGTTAGATGAAATGGCCTCGATCTTCAGGGTTTTCATGCTTTTGAAGCAGCCATAATTGGAGCACTTGAGGGGAGAGATAACCTGCAGATTAAATCCATTCTGGCAGTGGATCTAGTAGCAGGTGTCAGGTGCAAACGTCTCCAGTTCAGAGGTCTGGCTTTTTACTGGGACATGAGCAAATTAAGGGTTGGCTGGGCCCCTGAGAGTGCTCATCATAAAACTCAGCCTTTTTCAGCTCTAGAAGCTTGTAATAAAGTTGGGAACCAAGCAGGTTATACCACAGAAAGGTCCCAAGGGCCTATAATCACAGCATCCATTTCTGCCTTTTCTCTTGCCTCCTAGCTCCAAGTGGAACCGTGCAAGCAATTACCTTGACAGTATTTCCTACATTTCCTCTTTTGGTCCAGGTTTGCTTCTGGAGATGTCAAGCTGAGCTGCAGTGAGGATGACAAGGAACATTTTCAATTCAAGGACATCAGGGATGGGTTCAGCTCGACCTTTGAGAAGATTGTTGAGTCTGACCTTATGAAGGGTACATACTACAGCAGCTTGGACTCTTTGGATGTCCTCTCTCTCACAGACGAGACGGACAGCTGTGTCAGTTTTGAGGCCCCACTCACTCCATTGATCCAGCAAAGGGTCAAGGAAAGCCCAGAGCTCCTGGAGCAGAAACTGGTATCCCAGCAGAGAGAAGCCCTTCACCACATGGCTGCTGATAAGCAAGAGCAGGCAGCAGCAAAGCCAGTGGAGGGGGATTTTGGGAGCCCTCTCAGGCACTCAATTACCAGCAGCAGGTCAGAGAATGTGCTGAGCCGGTTGTCCTTGAAGAGCATCCCAAATGGGTTCCACGTGGAAGGGTCAGAGGAAGATGCCAGCAAGATCATTAACTCCATCAGGTAAGACAGGCTGGGAATTCCTTGGGCAAGGGCTCCTTGTTTTATGAGGTCCCAGACCAGGAGCAAGACTCAGAGGGCATGAGGATGGAGCTGCTTTTTTTCCCCTTGTGCTTCCTCTCATGGACTGTCAAATGAGAGGCCAAACGCCAACAGGAAAATCTTTCCTATCCATAGGTGAGGACTGCAACTGGGGACCAAGGTCTCATGGCATTAAACCAGCCAGTCCCCAGTGGGCCTGTGTCTGGGTTCTCCCTCTTCTCAAACCCAGCACCCCAAGCTGCAGGTGAGCTGCAGGGTCCTGTAGGAGCCGGGAGAGCCCAGGAAAAGCCAAAGCTCTGCGCTTTTTGCTCGTGTTTGCTCTGGAGGGCACCACTGTTCATCTGGCTGCTCACAAATCCTGTCCTTACAGCGGGCAAAGCTGGGGCTCCTCTGGGTAGACCACTGCCCTGTTTGCCTGACATCTGCAAAAGCCCTTGGCAGGTTGGAGGCAGGCAGGCACACTCCCAAATGTGCTCTGAAGTGTAAGGGAAACCACAAGGTTTCCCTCACAACTGGGTGCATCTGTAGAGGCCTTCCAAAAGGTTCTTCTGCAGGCAGGGAGGAGATCAGCAGAGACTTCACCCTCTGGACCAGCTCAGACCCAAACCATTGTCCCTGGGAGGCAGCAGCTCATCTGCAGGGCACTTCCTTGCATGAGGAAGTCAGGTGATGAGCGGCCAGGTCATGGGAGAGCTGGAGCGAGGCCATATGTCCAGCGAGCTATTAGACCTTCAGTGAGTCACACTGCCCAAAAACGTGTGAACATGTGCCATAACTGGCCTTGGGCAAGAAAATAAAGGGACGCAGCCCCACCTGTATGATGCCAGTGGGGTGCTCAGTGTGTTATCTGTGGGACCAGCTGGCCATGACACCAGCAGGCAGCTGGGAGAGGAGCAACCCACCAGCGACAGCAGTGGGTTGCTTCCAGTCCCGTTGGCATGACTTGTACAGGTTTCTCATCCTCGGCAAATAATCTGGACTGAAAAGCATACCATTCACCCCTAAGATTGCCTGAATGTCCACAGCTCTGAAAGAGCTCAGTATCGCTTTCCATACCAGTGGAGAGAGAGGAAGCTTAAAAACGTGTCGGGACCTCATTTCTCAGGGAGAAGTCACTTTCTCTTCAATCTTTTTCTACAAACTTGAAATTAAATTGGACTATTTCATTTGACCTGAAATGAAAGACGGTTTGTCCAATGTCCAGTTCACAAACATACTGTTGTTCTTTCACGTTTCTTGGTGAGGACAAGAAGAAATCAAAATGTGGCATTTTCCGTGGGTTTTGTCAAGTCACATTGCTGCTCCTTGAGTTGTTTCTTGTTTCTGTGTAGTGATGCCAGCTTGAAAGACGCACTGTCAGACTCCGACTCCGACATGGGCAGCACAGAGCAGCTTGACCAGGGCAGCACGGACACCTTGGCAAACGGCTGCAGGGCGGATAGCGAGGCTGCTAAGAGGCTCGCCAAGCGCCTCTACAACCTCGAAGGGTTCAAGCGCTGCGATGTGGCACGTCAGCTTGGCAAAAAGTAAGTGGGGCTTTGGGTTGCTGCCAACCTTGCGAAGGGGCTGACTGAGATGGCAGCGTCGAGCATGGCTAGCAGAAACACTGCTGTGGTGGGAGGGGTCTGGGGGAGCACTGGTCATGCTGGGAGGACAGGATAAAGGCAGGAAGGGACAAGCCTGCTGCTACGAGGGGTTGCTGGATGGAGTCGGGGCTGTTGGAGATCCTTCCAGTTGAAATTGGTCCAAGCCAAGTGCCCTTGCAATCTGAATCCTATAAGTTGCCTGCCTGTATTGGGCATTAACTGCCACAAGCTGCTGCCCACCAGAACCAAGAGCTTCCTGCATTTGGTAAAGACACATCAATCACCCTAAAGCAATCACCAGGCTGAAGGGTTTGAGATCCAGACCTGGATCTGCACTGGGCTCCCTGACACGCCCCAGGTTTTTCATGTGTGCACCCTAAAATTTCATTACACATCAGAGGTCCAAGCACCTCAGCTGGTGTATTTGCCTGGGTAAGGCAGAAGGGAAATAAAAAGTGTTTAGTCAAAAGTGGGAGAGTTATAGAGATTTCTAAGAGACAGAGTAACAGTAACAAGTGTAGCAGTAACAGATTATTTTAGGATGCCAGTGGGTGTGAGAACATCAATCCCCATCATCCTTCTCCTGAATCAGATATAACCTGTGTTGCTGGGTTGTTTTTTTTATGTCCTTGAGATGTCTCACTCCTGTCCAGATCAGCAGAACACAACTGTCCCTCAGCAAATACCCAAGCTCTCAGTACTGAGGATCCTCTGTGACTCCCAGCTTAGTCCTGGGACAGAAGGATCCCGTGAACGATCTCCTAGACAGGCTCTTTGTATCACCTGGCAGCAACTTCGTTCTTCTCTTTTGCTGTCGTTCTTCTAGCAGGTACATTGCAGGTTGCTGCTGCCTCAAGTCTAACATCCTCCTTTCTTGCAAATGTGCCGTGACAGCTCACAGAGTGGGGGAAGTTTCAAGCAATGGGTCTCTGGAGGTGCACCTGAGTGTGTCCCTTTGCTAGTTCCTGCAATTGTCACTCACACCTGCAACCCTCACACCTTGGAAAGCTGTTTGGTGAGCCACATGTGGGAATTGGCACAGCCTTTAAAAGAAAACTTTCGTATTGATGAGCTGGGTTTTTGACATCTGAATCATTTCCCAGCACAAGACCTGAATAGAGCTGCAGGCACTTGGATCAAGCAGGTGGATTTGCAGTGCAAGAAGGGAAAAAGGATGAGGATGGGTGTGTTTTAAGTTGGTCTTGTTCACTTAAGACAATGTAAGACCAACCTACAGTGGTGGTAGCAGGGTAAGTTTAAGTGATGCTTTCAGGCCAGCTCCATATAGGAGGTGGACTGGCTAAGAGGGTTATGCAAAAAGTAAAATCTCACTTGAAAGCTTTTTAGCTCATTTTAAATGCTTTTTCTTCTTTATGAACATTCTCAAAAGAAACCCCAAGAAACAAACCAAAACCAAAAACGTTCTCCATTGTCGAACAAGTAGAAGAGGCTTGATGAACAAGGAAATGCAGGTTGTATATCTCCATATAGTTTCTTTCCACCTGACACAATTCTGTGAATTTAACCTAAAATCCAGAAATTACCTCTGTCTCTCTGAAGAACATCTGTGTTGGCAGCTGAACTCTCCATGGAGGATTCTTAGTCCTGGATTGGTCTGTGGCATTGTCTCCGCTCCATCACTACCCACCGTCAGTCGTCTCTTGCTGGATGGAGATTGAACTCTCTGCTGCCAGACCATGAAGATGGTGGTGCCATCCGCTTCCTTGCAGGGTTTCCCAAGAGCACTGTGCTCACAAAACCACGCCAGCAGCCACGGAGCAAGCAGCAGAGCACCATTTCAGCATCCCAGTGCACTGGGAACTGGGAGTCTGTCAGCATATTTTCCTGCCTTGGAGATTAGGTGAATTTTACTTAACCAAACTTCTTGTGGACAATCTTTTTTTGACCCAAGTGACTGTGGCACAGAAAGGACCCTGGACAATACAGGCTTAGCTCTGTAGGAGGGTGTGATTCAGGCTGTAAAACCATACGTATCTGTCCATCTCCAGCCACACAGGAATGGAACCGTGGGAAAAGGCCAGGGCTCCTGCGTTACCCCAGAGTGGTCTGTGACCCAGCAGATCAGTAAGCACTCTTGGTGCCTGGATCTTCCCAAACCAGGCAGAGGGAGGAAGCGTCAAGTGGGGTATAAGGCAAGAAGAGGTCTGTAGAGGCTGTCTGTGTGGCACGGCCACCAGCCAGAGGATGCCAGACATGTCCCCATGGGAAACACCTTGCTGTTCTTGTGAGGATGTGTCTGTTGTGTCTGAGCTGCATGGTGGAAGTGTCATCCATTCCTGCAGGCGGGCACAGAGAAAGGAGGCCAGTTCTTGGGTGAGGAAATCAGAGCGAACACCTAAGCCCATCTTAGGATAGACCATGGTCTTGCCCTGACCAGTGTTGGGGCTCTGTGTCCCAGGCATTTCCTGCAGGCGGGCACAGAGAAAGGAGGCCAATTCTTGGGTGAGGAAATCAGAGCAAACACCTAAGCCCACCTTAGGATAGACCATGGACTTGCCCTGACCAGTGTTGGGGCTCTGTGTCACAGGCAGGTCCAAGGCATCTTAACTGGCTCTGGAGCTCAGGGAGAAGAGTCCCATCAATGTCACCGAGCCCCTGGCTAGATGTAAGAGTTTGTTGCTTCCTTCAGGGTGGCTGCCTTCAGATGTCCTGCGACACTGTCTGCTTCCCTCAGCAGAGCTGGCAGTCTCTGCCTGGAGGTTTCCAAGCAGAGAGGGACCAAATGAGGCACACAGGAAGGCGTGATGGGCACCCAGGCCAGGGACTGTTGGCACCACAGCAGCTGGTACGAGCCACTTGTCCTGGGGGTCACTAGTTCCCTATGGACTCCTGGCCTTCAACAAGACCCAGTTGGCTGAGGGACAGGCAGCAGGGCCTGCCTGCTTTCCCAGACTGCCTTGATGGGAGAGTGGGGCGAAGGGGAGCTCCCACTCACCTTCATCTTGTGTGACCATAGTTCTAGTTAGGAATGTAAATTAGGGTGTAGCTACCAGTGGAGGCTGTGGAGACATCTCAAGAGCAATTCAGCCCGCCCAAGATCCATGCTAGGCTATAGACATGCCAAGTCTTTTGCCTTTATGGAGCCTTTGGCAAGGCCAGTCCTTCAAGCCCAACTTGAGGTTAAGTGGAGGGAGTCAGATGCTGTTCTCCCCTGTTGATTGCTGCAGTGCTGCAGCATGTTTCTCTGTGCCCAGTGCCCAGAGTGCCCACACAGGTTCTCAGGAGACCTGGGATAGGTGCCCAAACAGAAGGAATCAGATCTTTTCTTCTGAGAGACTACAACTGCACATGTGAGGTGGGTCCTGACCTGTGGAGGGGAGTGTGCTGGCTAGTTCCCAGCACTGGCACAGCCAGTGCATGAGGTCTTCTGCAGACTTAGAGCTGAGAGGATCCCAGAGGAGACCTGAGACTTGCTTGGTTCTGCTTGTTCTTTGGCCCAGGGGTGAAGATGTGCTCCTTTCACAAACGTGGTCATCTTCTGCATCTCACATCACTTTGCTGTGAAGTTCCAGGACAAGTGGAGAAGTCTCTCTGGGAAGCTGTCAGGAATCTGCATGCCAATCATTGTGGCACTGCTTCAGACAAACTAACCTGGGGGAGCATGGGGTCATGAGGACATGTTCTTTCCCAGAGCTAGCAATCCCAAATGATTGTTTTATGAGTGTGAGGTCTTGTGGCTTCATATGGCTTTGAAACAGTCTCCTGCGCAAACTCCAGCACCAATACTTATGTCCTGCCTCTCAAAACTCCGCATGGACCTCTACCCTGGAGCTGTCACGCTGCTCTACCTGATCCTGCTGTGGGTTGTGTTTCTGAACAGCATCCCTGCCAGAGGCTTTACAGCATCCACCTCACAGCAGAAGATGAAACAATGAAATATGAAAAGCAATGAGGTCTGCCTGTAACATGTCCTGTTGTGAAACTGGATGTGCAATGCCTAGCAATATGTTTTCATTTTGTGGGGAGAAGGAAAAGGAATTGTATATGGCAAAGGCTGAGCACATTGAGATCATCTCCCGTCTCTTGCCAGCATTCATTGATTTTTCTTGCACTTCTGCTATCTGAGTTGCATAGATAGATGTCACAGTTTGACCCCAGCCAGCAACTGAGCCCCACACAGCCACTCGCTCACTCCCACTCGGTGGGATGGGGGAAAGAATAGGAAGAGTAAAAGTGAGAAAGCCCGTGGGCTGGGATAGAGACAGTTTAATAGGTAAAGCAAAAGATGTGCACGCAAGCAAAGCAAAACAAGGGATTAATTCACTCCTTCCCATGGGCAGGCAGGTGTTCAGCCATCTCCAGGAAAGCAGGGCTCCATCATGCGTAACGGTGACTTGGGAAGACAAATGCCATCACTCTGAACATCCTCACCCTTCCTTATTCTTCCCCAGCTTTATATGCTGAGCATGGTGTCATATGGTATGGAATATCCCTCTGGTCAGCTGGGGTCAGCTGTCCCAGCTGTGTCCCCTCCCTACTTTTTGTGCACCCCAGCCTTCTCGCTGGTGGGGTGGGGTGAGAGGCAGAAAAGGCCTTGACTCTGTGAGCACTGCTCAGCAGTAACGAAAACATCCTGGTGTTACCAACACTGTTTCCAGCACAAAACCAAAACACAGCCCCACACTAGCTACTATGAAGAAAGTTAATTCTATCCCAGCCAAAACAAGCACAACAGAGGAACTTAACAGCACCCATTCTGACTTTAAAGGCAACATGTCTCCAAGCATCCTTCAAAAACATGGCAGGGGAATGGTTTCTGGAGAAGCATTCAGGGATGAGCAGGGCCAGAATCTCGACTGAGTTCTCCTGCTCCAGTTCCCAGCTGCATCCGTCTGACGTGCGAGCGAGGTGCCGAGCTGAGAGGGTGGGATGGGAGCTGGTGTGGAGTGGGGAGCAGGAATATTTCAGTAGGAGACAGGGGCACATCCAGCCATGGGAGAGGACTAGGTGAGAGAGAAGGTACCTGATGAGCACGAGACATCCTTATGTCCTCCTCCTGCCGGCTGGTTTGGGAGGAGGCTCTGCCTGGCTGGCAGCACAGCGGGGGGATGCAGGGGGGGGCAGGCATCTCTCATCCTTGGGTGTCCAGGGCTGGCAGCCGCAGCGCTGGGCTGTGGACATGTTAGGGCCCTGCAGAGGTCTTCCAGCAGGATTTTGAGCTTAGGAGGAAGCACCCCTGGGTCTGGGATCACATCCGCAGTGTCTCGCTGGGAGCTGGGCTGGCCAAGAGGCAGCAGTCTGCTGTTCCTCTTGTAGACAGTGTCTCCTTCCCTGATGAAAGGGCTGACTACTCTCTCTTTAATTACAGTAACGAGTTTAGCAAGTTGGTAGCAGAGGAGTATCTCAGCTTCTTTGACTTCACTGGCCTGACCCTTGACAAGGCACTCAGGTGAGCTGGTCTCTGGTGCTCCCGCGTAGGGCTTGGGCTGGACGGAGTGGAGCAGCGCGGTGGGTTTCTCCTCCAGGCTTCCCGACGCCATGGAGGCTGTCCATGTGATAGGAGCAGGGACAAGGGGGAGCTCCAGGTTGTCGCTTAGTCTTTGCTTTGCCGTCGCATTTGGCACAAGGTACTGCCACCAAAAGTGGGCTTCGACAGGAGGACCCACGACCTGCTTCCCCATAGTGGAGAGCAGCTTTCCCAGGAATCTCATCTCGTACGAAATCAGAGCAAGTGGGAGCAACTTCTTCCCTTGGGATGGACAACCCATCCTGATGCCATTAAGCCAGAGGTGGGTCAGATCTCAGCTGATGGCACAGAGCCCCACAGACACCTTTTGCATTGCTCCTGCAGGGGCCCAGGGGTGCACAGGCTGGGCGGAGGACACCCTTTCCGTGTCCCTCCTTAGCATGGATGCTGCCCAGCAGGTTGATCCATGACACCTTTAAGTATCACTTTTTCTTTGCAGGACGTTCTTGAAAGCGTTCCCGCTGATGGGAGAGACGCAGGAGCGGGAGCGAGTGCTGATCCATTTCTCCCGGCGATACTGCCAGTGTAACCCAGAAGAGAGCACGTCCGAAGGTAAGGCTTTCTTTCCCTGGCTCTGGTGTCCCTTGCACGCTCACAGTGCACGTGTGCCACAGACCCTGCATGTAAATCCAACCATCTGCAGCTTGTAGCTTCTCCCTTTCTCCGGGATCCTGCCCTGCTGATTATCCCTGCCCTGGGAGGCAGTGGGGACACTGGGTGCTGAACAGACCCCCCACGAGAGCCAGATCAGGATCTGAGGGTCTGTCCGTTGAATGGAATAAGACATTTCCATGCAGATTGAGGAATGCTGTTAGCTTGCCCAGCACAGGAACTGTGTTCCTGGCACCTACATCTGCAGCAGAAAAAAGCACATCTGGGTAAAATTCTGGGCTCACTGGAGTTGTAGATTTTGTTAGCTGCCTTCGGCCTCTCCCCATTATATTTTTTTAAGTAGATGTAGTTTCTTCTGACATTTTTAAATGTCCACCTCCTTAGGTGGAAATCGGGCTGCTGACCTCCTCTCAGCTGGCACCACAGCAATGCCAGTTATTTCTCCTCCAACCCCTTCCATGTGCAGTTTGCCAGCTGTGCTTGAGAGCTTCTGCTTGTCTCCACCTTGCAGGCTTCCCAAAAAGCAGCAGTGCCCAGTGTCACATGAACCACTAGTCCATTTGCCAAGCTAACTGAACACAAGCTATTCTCAAAACAGAATGACCTCTTTGCTTTTATCAGTGGTTTTCCGATAAAGTATAGGCTTAGATTTCATTTCCCTGTGTTTGTGTGATGTTCTCCTCCACTGATGCAAAGACAACCTTCTCTGGGAAGGATCCTCCACCTGAAGATGTTGAGCTGCAGGCTGAATTTTCAGCAGCAATCCTCAGCTGAAATAACCCAAATGCCAAGTCTTGATCCCTCTTCAACACTTCCCCCTGAAAGTGATCCCCAATTCTATTGCATCTACTTCCCACCTCTACAGACATGAGCCTTGGGACCCCTTCTCCTCTTCTGGTCCTCAGGTGTCTAACACCCACTGTGGCGGTGGGTGCGTGCACACATCAACTTGAGCAGAGGCTGATCTGGAGCACAGGAGGTCAGACCTCCGACTCCATCCCACACCCTTCAGCGCAAGGGTTTTTGGAGGGAAAGGACTAGTCAAACAAAACCCAAGCTTTGCCATGTGGCAGCATGGGTTACAAAGCTGCTGATGGAGCCACGCTACGGCAACTGTTCAGAAAAGAAATTAGATCCCAGTTCTTCAAGAAGGTGCCTGCTAATGGAAACACGAATGAAGCCAGAAAGTTAAACTCTTCCGTAACTTCATGGCCCTCAGTGGAGATGTCACTGCTACTGGTAGGACCTGTTTTGAAAATGTGACACTCCTAAACAGTACAAAACTATTAAGAATAAGGAAAACTGGATCTGAAACACATTACTTCTGCTGCTGCTGTCGTGACCTATTCATTAACATTTAGGGTCACGGCATCGCCTGTGATGGTGCAGCACGTTTCACAAGGCTGAATCTGAAACACATTACTTCTGCTGCTGCTGTCATGACCTATTCATTAACATTTAGGGCCACAGCATCGCCTGCGATGGTGGCAGCACGTTTCACAAGGCTGGGCAGGACCACTTTCTGCAGATCAAACGTAAACTGAGTGAGTCCCAAGCAGGACAGAGCCGCTCTCAGCACTGGAATTGAATGGGGCTTGAAAAATACAATTGTAATCCAAGTACTACTCGAAGCTGGTGCAATGGAGGGGAGCAAAGTGGCTCTTTCAGGTCACATTGTTTGGAGATACTGCAAAAGCCTGCGCTAGATGCATGGTAATCTGAGAAAACTATTGCAAGCTCTTTCTTCAGGAAGCAGTTTCTTCTTGTTGCATCCAGCCTAAACTTGCAAAGGATGTTCCATCAAGATGAAATTTGAGCCACTGTGTATTATCTAGATTTCTAAAGAAACACCTCTGGCTGTGATGGTCTAGTGGCAGAGAGGCATCATAGAGTCAAGGCAGTTTTGTCTGGAGATGATCAGGTGGCTGAGAAGGTCTTACAGCCCTCTAAGACATTTCAGGGTGTTGCTATATGCTGATTCAATAACTCCTCCACTGACGGAGACACGGCTGTTGCAACACCAAGGTTCACTTCAGTCTTGCATGATGGGATGCTGCAAACAAGGGTGGCAGAAGCTCCAACTTGCTGACCACTGAGTGGGGTGGCTGGTTTTTCTCCCAGAGAGTGATGTCATGGACACATTACTAGTGCTTTCCTGTACTGATGAAGCCCAGACATGGAAGAACTGTATAGTTGTGTTGTGACACTGTGTGAGCTGAGAGACAAAGTGAACGCCACTGAGCCAAGCAACAGTGAGAGAATAGCAGGTTGTGAGACACCAGCACTACCCTGGGGACAAGGGGACATGATTTACCTGACCAAAGGGATTCAGTAAAGCTGGACCCTCCCACAGACACTCAAAAATACACACTGAGAAGTCACGTTGTCCTAATCCCAAAGCTGCTTCTTGTGAAAGCAAAGGAAGCATCTTTGTTAGGCAGTGATTCTCTCTTGAAGGGGGATGTCCACCACACCATGTCCCCAGGACTGTCAGCCCTCATAGAGAAATACGTGATGTTCCCATGAGAAACCTTTCCTTCCTCAAACCGTGGTTCTTCCAGGAAAGGGAGAAGCTCATGTCTCAGTTGCCTTCGTCCTGGGCTTGTGTGGTTGCCTTTAGCTGGCAGTGTTTAGAGCTTGGCCTTGAGCATGGGGTGCTCAGGGCTTTTCACAATTCCACACGAATGGTGACTCTCTTCAGTGACTGCCCTTGAGCATGGGGTGCTCAGGGCTTTTCACAGTTCCACATGAATGGTGACTCTCTTCAGTGACTGACCAGGACTGGGGCAGGACATGGATGGCTCTCTGTGATTGCACATCTACCCCCACAAGATAAGACCAGTGCCCCTTCTCTAGCCCAGCCTGGGGGTAAGCCACAGCCTGACCAGAGGGCACCGATTTGCAGAACAGCATGCACGAGGGAAATAAATCCTGTCTGGTTTGGTCTGTGGAGCATCTGATCCGTGTGAGCGCACCGATTCATGCACCAATTCGTCCCAAGAGCAGGGCCAAAGACCAAGGCTGTAGTACTTCTGCCCCTGCCTCCTCCCTGGTGCTCTCCATGCAAGGACCAGTCAATGTCTCAGAGTGCATTTGCATCTTGCTGTTGTGAGATGGTGTGTGGAGACTGCTCTCTTGACCTTGAACAGCTTCAGGGCACAGCATGGACAGGAAGCCACAAAAGGAAGGCTACCTGATACAGAAAAGGATGCTGTGCTGTCTCAAACGGAAGGAAAACTTCATGTGAGTTTTCTTAAGTCAGAGAGCCAAAAATACTGCACTCATCTCTAGTAATAATGTTTGTTGAACAACTCAGGAGCTTGCAGGCTGCCCAGGAATGGTGGTTAAAGACCTCAGGACAAACCCCTGATCAACGCGGGGCAAACGAGCTCTGTTTGCCAGAATGAGTCTCTGCCCCGTTCTACAATGGCATTTTTTTAAGCTAGCTTACGCAGTTGAAAGAAACAGGTGTTACAGGCTGAAAGAGTTGGGGCTGTTCAGCCTGGAGAAGAGGAGGCTCCAGGGTGACCTTATAGCGGTCTTCCAGTACCTCAAAGGGGCCTACAAGAAAGATGGGGAGAGGCTGGTCAGGAGGGCCAGTTGTGATAGGACAAGGGGTAATGGTTTTAAAATAGAGGGAGGTAGATTCAGGTTGGATATTAGGAAAAAATTTTTTACCGTGAGAGTTGTAGAACACTGGAACAGGTTGCCCAGAGAGGTGGTGGATGCTCCATCCCTGGAGACGTTCAAGGCCAGGTTGGACGAGGCCCTGAGCAACCTGATCTAGTTGGAGATGTCCCTGTTCCTTGCAGGGGGGTTGGACTAGATGACCTTTGAAGGTCCCTTCCAGCCCTAACCATTCTATGATTCTATGATTCTATGATTCTTTAAGGTCCCCAGACGTAGCAACTAGCCTTGGTCTTGGCTTCAGTGGGCTGCCAAGACAGCACACACCGAGACCATGTGGGAAGGGGAGCAATCACAGTGATCTGACTGTTGTGTGTTTCAGATGGGATTCATACGCTCACCTGTGCCCTGATGCTGCTGAACACAGACCTTCACGGCCATGTAAGTAGTGCTTGGAGATGCACCCTTCCTTCTTCCTTCCCAGTACGGAGGTCTGTCCCCTTATGCAGGATGTCTTGCTGGAAAACCAAGATAGGTTGGCAGGGAGTACTCTGACCAGCTCCAGGGGGAATTTTGGGTGCCAGGCGCAGACCTGGGGACAGTCCTCCTAGTATCACTCCACACTCAAGCCAAAGGCATATCTCCTGCTGACATCAGTTATCTTATACAGGCACAGGCAACACAGCTTTCTTCCCAGGACCTGTTGCATGCATCAGCCCTGTCACAAGAACTCTCACGGAGAGGTCTTCACCACCGGTCTCTGTGGGGCTGCCAAGCAGCAGCACCAGTTGTGCTGCTGTTTCTTGTGGTGCAAACACCTGAGGCTCCCCTCATCCCAGGAACTGCCACAAAGGAGTCAGTGGTTTCATACAGATCTAGATCTGATCTTTCCTTCCTAAGCTGTGAAGTAAGTCCCGGTTCCTTTTCCCCAAGACATAACAGACAGCCATTGGAGAGTTCCATATCAGAGAGGCCTCTGGATAAAGTGCAGGGTCAGCAGAGCTCAGTGCCCAAAAGTGTGGTTGAGAAACAGCAGAGCCTGTAAGAAGATCTCCCACCACCTTTTAGAGGCTCTTTCAGGTGTCATGGGTTTGATTTGTTCCTAAAAGGCCAACCAGAGTGTAGAGAACAGAGCTGAAGGGGATGAAAAACAACTACAGAGGGGAGATGGGACTGGGCATAGGGGACAGCACTGGGACATCGTGTACCCTGGGAGACCCCTTCCGTACCATACATCTGGGGGTATGTGTGGACTCAGCATGCTGTAGGCACTGTTCACCCAGATCTCCTCTCTGCTCTCCAGCTTTATGGTGCAGGTACAGAGCATGGCTGTGAGCCTCAGGGGTAGAGGGGCTCCTCAAGTCTTGGGTCACGGGGGTACCTTCTTTCATAGCTCCTCTGATTGCTCAGACCTGGAGTCATGGATTCTCCAGAACTTGTGTGAAGATGGAGAGGGCATGGGGGATGGCTTGTTACAGCAGCCGGTGCACGTGAAACCTGCACACCCCTTTTCTGCCCCACAAGCACGATTGCCAAGCCGTATCATCAGAGTCTTCTTCTGCCTCCAGCTGGCAACAAGTTGTTGTGCATCTGCAGAGGCTTGCCCTGATTTTTTCTTCATCAGGCTGTTAATGAGGGGACAGTAGGCCATAACCTAGCTCTTTTTTTGCACACTGTTTTATAATCACCTTTGAGAGGAGCCTTTTTCTGTGGAGGTGGGAAGAGGACACTACATGAGTGCTCTTCATCTATGATGGCAAAGGTGCAAAGGCCACTGGCTTCACTGGTGCCATCCTGACAGTCCACCTGAGGGACCCTTCCCATCATTACAGCACGAACACTGCCTTCATGGCAGCGTGAAAGGTTTGGACACAGCGACCAGTGAAGGCAATTGCTGCTCTCTGCAAGAGCATCCTTTCCCGATGTGCACCGTGGCCTGTGCCAAGCTGGCTACAGCTGCCGTGGCCTCATTCTTTGGGGAACAAGCCGCCTATGACCAGCGATGCACTGGCCACTGGGTCCGTTCCCGCTCACATGGTGGCCAGTAACGTGCCGAGGCAAAGAGCCTCTGCGCACAGCGGGATAGCAGTGGGGCCAGCTGCTGGGAGGGTCTCACAATGTGTTCATCCTTCAGCCGAAATGGTTGGAGCCAAGGAAATATTTTCATCAAGGCATTTCCTGCAGAAGCAGAAGCAGCGTTGTGACAGAAGGCAAACTGTGCAACTTCACTCCAAAATAAACTTATTTTGTCTAGTTTTTTTAATTAAAAAAAATCCAAAATATGTCTCTGGGAAGATAGAAATTATTGAAAAGGCAAAAAACCCCTAAACCTCCAAAACCTTACCATTTCTATTTTTCATTGACATTCTGGCTAAGAGGCCTGGTAAGAAAAAATGAGAAGAAAAGATATCATGCTATCTAGGCAAAGAAAAAATAGCTTTCTTTTGACCAGGTGTAGAAATACCTAAGCTTTTCTTTGAAAAATCTTCTCTTTATTTTTCCGCATGTGTAACATTAATTTCTTCTTCTCCTTCTCCTCCTTTTTTTTTTTTCTTCCTTCTGCTCCTGGAACCTCTCTTTCTGCTCTTTAACCCTTTACCAGGTGGTAAGTGCAGTCATTCTAGTGTTTTGCGTTAAAGCACTGGCATTTGACTTGTTTTTTCTGTGTTTAAAAAAAAAAAAAAAGATTTTTGTTTGTCTGGATTCCTAAGTGATTGTGCACTGTCCTTCACTACTTAGCAACCCATGAGCAGCTGATACACATCACATGAAATTCTCCTTGTGTAAAGAAACCTCCATAAACTGCAGTATACCTGGGACTGTGTGACTCTCTCTCATCACTTTTTGTTAAAGATGCTATCACTTTTAATTTTATTTTCTTTTTTAATATTGTGTGTGTTTTCAGTGTTTTACTGTGCATTGCCCTGGAGTGGGAAATTCCTTTGGTTAGGAAAGGGTGGTCCATGTGTCTCTGCAAAGGCGCAGTTCCCTACAGCAGTCTCTCTCCCTATTGGACTAGTTCACCATTCCAGCAGTGACCATCACATACACTGAGTCCAGGCTTAAAAATAATGAGACTGGCTTTAAAGCATGAGATTTGCACCTGGCCACGCTGGCGTTTTGCCTTAATACCGTTGATTTTCTACAGGTGCACTCAGACCCTGTTTCCAAACTGTCCAGAAAACTTGCTGCCTTCAAAATGAGACACTCCATTTCCATAGAATCATGTAGAGTTGGTGTTTAAAAGCCAGTAGTCACCAACAAACATTACAAGCCTTGTAATATAATCCAGGTTGTTGCAACTCTCTACAGCGGTCTGCTGGTGCTGTTTGAGCTCCAGGAGATATTATGACAAAGTAAGTACTCCTCAGCTCCATCTCTGTCCCTTGGAGAGAAAGTTTTGTGATGTCTCCTTTTCAACGGCCAATGTTATCCCTCCTGGTTGAGAACTGCTGGCCATGGAAGGACCGTGCCAGATCAACACCTCTGCATCACCAGCATGCACGGTTGCATTTTGGTGCTTTAGCAAAGCCCAGCTTCTGGAGTGACACTGTAATGTGACAAGCTTTAGCATTTGTTCAAAAAGCAGACCAGCAGCTCTCATGGCCACTGAACAAAGCTTGAAAATGGGATCCCTGGCAGGTCCTAAGTCCACGTGTCCATCGCTACTAATCTTACAAACCCTGTGACATTCTTCTTAAGCCAAGTTTATAGTTTGGTGTTAGCAATACTGCTGTGTTAGTAGCACTTGGGGAGCTGAAGAGCTCTGAGATATGAGCAGCTGCTGGAGTCACCTGCAGAGTGACACCAGTCTGCCCACAGCAGCTTTGCATGGCCCAGGGGTCACTGGTACCCAAAGTCTGCGGGATTGTTCCCTACAGCAGGGTGATTTTGTTTCTGCAGCACAGAACACATCCACCACGAGATCCTTTGGTCCAATCAGACCAATAACCCTCACTTCAAGCTGAAGCATAAAAGTAGTTGTTTGGTTTTTTTTCCCCTGAAGATGGGTATTTGGGAGAGGCCAAGAGATAAAAGAGTAAAAGCAGGGCCTGCTGGGGGTGTGATGCTCATGCTGGAGATCTCCACTCACCACTTTGCAGCTGAGGTGTTTGATGCCTGGGGCCTCCAGCCCAGAAGCTCAAGTGGTTTAACACCTCACAGAGGGAGTGCTGGGGAGACCACTCCAGATAGCCACCCTTCACTGCCCCTGGCCTCCAACAACCTGCTTCTCCTCCTGGGAGCCAGGCTTTTCCCACCAAGCACCCAGCTCATACTCACCTACCCAGCCTCCTAATACTGGGACTTGGCAACAGTCAAGGAATACCAGGCTACAGCCCAGAGTCTTCTGGAGGTGGATAGAGCCATCCTGGACACTTCAGGAGATGATCTGTGATCATCTCGGATGAGTCAGCTCAGCAGCAGATGGCTGAGGCCCAGAGAAGGCAAGATCCCAACTGTAAACAGGAGAGTTGCACTGGGTTGCAGCAATGGGACTGCAGGATCAGCCCTGTCTACCCACCATCAGATCAGTCTCGTTCTTCCTAATTTGTTTTTACGCACTCTAACCACCGTGGTGCACCTTATCTCTGCTTCTCTCCACTCTCATACTCTGCCTGCACCCATCCACCTCTGTCACCCATTCCCATGCTGCCTTTACCCACTCATCTAACTGTCCATCCCTTCTCATCTAGTTAACCCACTGGTCGCTCACTCGCTCTCCATCCAAGCACGCCATGGTGCCAGCTGGTTGTCTGACAGTGATTTGTTATGCTTTGCTGCATGGCCTGGACCAGGCAAAGATGGGATGAAGTTCTTTCTGCCAGGGGGACATATCAGGAATAGGGGCTAAGTGTGGCTGTGAAGCAACCTCACTGGCTTGTTCTATTGCTGGTAAGTCACTGATGCACCACAAAAAAGCAAAATGCCCCCATCTATGTGGCTGGCCAGAAGTGAAGATACGTCTTCCTACCCAGAGGTCCCAGTTCAGCAAGAGACATAGAACATCTGAACACTGAGCTTTGAGGTGTGCAAATACATTCCCCTGAAGATTATGTCCACATGTGATGATCTTGCTGAATCTACAGTATGGCCTGCTGCATGAGAAGGCACTCCACTCCACCATCATACTGTCTCTTTCTGCAGTTGTTCCTGGAATTCCCAATACTTGCTAAATACTGTTGCAGTGTGCGAAAGCTCCGGCGGTCCCTGGTGCTGGTGCCGTTGATAATGAGGGACTTGTGATCACAGAACTGTTTCTTTGCAAGTGTTAATCAAGTCACGCCACAAAGTCCATGTCCTGGAGAGATTGTTTTGTTTTGTTTTGTTTTGTTTATTCAGCTGGTGTTGATTTGGAGGCACTTGCAGGGCTTTGGATTTGAGTGGCTGGCTCCCACCCATTTCTCAAAGCAGCAAGCTGAAGTGTTAAGATATTGTTGACT